CGCGTTTCGTCACAGAGTGAACATCAACTCTGAGGTGCGGGTACATCCAGCCGACGAGTCTCAAATAGGACGAAACACGCATCCCGCATTCCACTGCTAACCACTATCCACCTTTGCTTACCATGCTTGTGAATTTAGGCTTTATCGAGGCAATACGCACAGTATGCACATATGCCAATTAGAGACTGACCAGTTGCAGTCCTAAAACACCAATGGGTAGATTCAAACAAACAATACTAAGCAAATTTAAGATTTAAACGTTTTATTATTATTATTATTTTATCTCTCAAGTCAGTTGACTCATGAAGCAGAGTCTTCTTCTTACTTCTGTCTTCAAGGAGTCCCGGAGATTTAGTGAGAATCTTTTGCGTAAAACTTATACAGAAATACCTGATGGTCTTTTATTAATTGTTAGTATAAGACAAACTAACTTGGACTTGTGTTTAACAGTTTTCTTTAGGTTAAGTGAAAGGAGACTAGTTGGTAATATATTGCATTTAATACAAATACAGAAGCTTTGGTTATTGAAATATTTACTTAGTGTTTAATGTTATTACTTGTGGAACAAAAACGAATAATACTCTTGATTTCGCACTTGTTTTTTGTATGTATAAGGACTAGGCAAATATTATCAGTAATTCATCTTTATCCAGTGTTACTGTGATTTCCAGATAAACACATATGACTGAACTTGATAAACATTCCAAATAACAAGGTTTTTGGCTTGAAACTGAAAGGTTACATAACATTAACTTTCTCAAAGAAATATTGATGTAAAGTTCGGACGAATATTCTTTAATGATTTTGGAGAGACGTGGTAGATTTTGCTTAAGCAGTATTCCTTCGATGATTATAAGCCTATTCATCATTCTGAAAATGAATGGGTATTATCTTTTTAAAAGTCACTAACTTGTTTATTCCCAGTAAACTTTTCTTTATTTACGTTAACAAATTAGTTTTAAAAAAGTAACAAAGAGCTGACTCAAAGAAAGAATACTTTCAGAGCATCCGTAAACTAATGTTTATTTATTTTTTGATCACTTTGGCTTCTATGCACCCCTGAAAACTGAGGTATTAAATAAAAAATTAGTATTCAGAATGTTATGAATACGAATGCAAGTTTTTATGTTACTATTTGGAGAGCCATGCTAGATAGTCATTCAGTTGTATATTTCTTATTTTATTGTCATTGATGACATCAAGTAGAGCATATTTTATAATCTTAGAATTTCAAGTTTCTTATTAAAACAAATACATGTGACTATGACAAAAGGATAAAACGGCCGTCCAGTGCTTCCAGGTTTTCCACGATGGTCTAGCTTCAATTGACTCATGAATTCAACTATATATGACTTAATAGTTAAATCCACATTGTTATCTATTGGACTTGGTTTGATTTTAATAACCAGACAACTGGGAAAATTCACTATATATTTATTTGAATATAAAAAGCGGATTTATTAGAAAAATTCTATTCGTATTACCGTGCAAAATGTGTACTGGATCAAAAGGCAAGTACAGATGATCCGTTTGTCTTGTCTGTCGTTAACTTTTCTCGAAATGAACAATAGTTATTTTGACACATTCAGAGTATCATCGTCAGTAACATCAGGAAAAGCAAAATTGAGTAGCCATTCTGCAGTTAAAGATTCTTGTCTTTTGTGTTTAATTCTAGATGTTGTATTTATTTGATCATACAAAACGATAATAAATAATAGAGGAGAAAATAGCCGAAAGAGACAGAAGGCAACTAACTAATAAAACGAGATTCTCGAGAGGATTGTCAGTTTCTCTCCAGTTTTTGCATTCTTTCTCTCTCTTTAATAGTTTCTCTTGGTCTTTGATATACTCAGCATATGGCAGAAAATTATGTTCGATTATAGACCATTGGGTAAAGTATACATATGTATAATAAAAAAGAAATGCAGTCACTGTTTATTTAAGTGTCTGGTATATATATATATATATATATATATATATATATATATATGTAGGAATAGATTCACTTGGTCCGGTAGTCTAAGATAATATTAAACTTATAGACACAGTGATCATTCCCCACTATTAGCAATCCTTTTAATAATCATAATGATAATCATAGCAAAAATAATATTAATAATTACTATTTCATATCGAAGTAAAATCATTCCTCTTTCTCTCTTTTATTTTGCTGAAAATTTGATATTTATTCAACAGCTGTTCGAATAGACAGTTTATGCACAGACTTTTCTCGTGTCAAAAAATATTACCTTCATGTTTAGTTATTTGTTTGCTTTTCTACTAATAATATTCAAATACATGTATCATATATACATATACATATATATGTATATAAGTAGTGTTAGTGTTATACATTTTGATTAGTCTTGTTAACCACTTGTTCTTTGATGGTTATGAGTAACAGAGAGGTATGTATGTAAATGCATGTTTGCCTAGACTAATTTGTTGGGTGGTGGGGTGGGGTAAAGAAGAATATACGTATACTATTATGCTTCATTAAGGGTTTTATGAATTTATCATTGTAGTGAATTATATACAGACTAAAAATACATTAAGCCTTTTAATAATACATTTTTTGCTTAATAATGAAATGAACACAAATTCATAGATCATTATGGTACGTTGAGGGATCGTACAGTTTTTGACCATCAACTTTTATTTCGGAAAACTTTTTCTTTAGACTTATTTTTTGTCTTTTTTGTTGATACACCTCAAATTGATATAACTTGTACCAAAAAACATGGACAATTAATTAATTGTCCAGTCATTAGCTTTTTAACTATTTGTATTGTTAAATTAATTTCCTTAATGGAATTATAGTTCAACTTTTGATAGTAGATTGGTGGCATATGACGCTAAATAGAATAGAATTGAGAATAGGTGATTGAAGTGGGTTTTAAATATGCGGTATAATAACACTATATTCTGAATGAGGATTTAATCTCTTAGAAAGTATACTATTTGAGGTCCAGGACGAGCGCTTCAAACTTGGAGACTTGAACCTCAAAGTCCTTCTAGTTATTTAGCTGCAATTTAGATAACTTCAGGTTAAATTACAATCTTCCTAATATTGCAAAGTACTGTCAGAGAATATGACAGTTTTGTACCAGCACTATGGTTTTAATTACCTCAGCCAATTATGAACAGGATTATTTTAATAGTTACTTCAAGAAATTGTTTGATAGTTGAGGGAGAAAGAAAAGCTAATCAAGTACTTAGTGAATTATTTTACAATGTTTTCTATACAGATGAATATTTTATAATTAGTAAATATATCACAATCAGACACAGGTGACTGCTGATACTGTTGTAAATCATATATAAAATTAGCAGCTTTCATTTTCAAACTTAAAATAACCATAATTCAGTTTGAAAATCTACATTATATTCTTGCACACTCTAGTGGATAATTTTTAAGTCTTACAACCCACTTCTATTCCCGTAACTAATCCAACCACTTTCTTTTCAAATCGTGTTGCTAATTGCGTTTCCAAACTTTTATTGGAACTCAATGATATAATGAATTAAAGTAACACACAGTTTGATTTGAAAGGAAATGTTTTATTTGTAGAGTGACTAATGAAACACCATTTCAAACACAAATCAACTTGAAATCTGTTTTATTTCTACTTATCTTAACTATTAACACTTTTTTTATTGCACCTCTTCTAGTTGGTTAACAGGTGATAATTTTTATTACCGTAGTGACAAACTATTATGTGTAGATGTGGGCGCATCCGCACTCACTAACATACAGACACGTGTATGGATGGTAGCATTAATAGTAGTAGTAGTGGTAGTACAATTGAAAAAAGACAGACAAGATAATATCAGTTGGGTAGAATTTGTATAGTGTTGTTGTTAATCGCTTTTCTACATAAAATATCATAAATTCCAGTAAAAATTATTAATAAAATTTCGTACTGTCAAAAACGAATGGTAATAATTTCGGGAAAAAGGAAAAGAACATAAAATTGATTATTACAATAAGAATAATAATGATGAATAGAAAATTCCCTGATTCCATTGTCCTATTCCCTTTTACTTTTTTTAAATTTATTTACTGATTTATGTGTCTAGCATTTATAAAATTATTGCTTGAATCCAGGAATTCTTAATCATAGAATAAATACAGGTAGATTCTATCTTTTCACCGTTGTCAATTAGTTATTTTACCACCATAGTTGGTAACTTTTTTAATGACTTAATAAAGATTGGTATTTACTAATGTGTGCTTACAGTTATGTAGTAAAGGTTTTCTTTTTCTATTTAAATCACATTGACAATCATTGACTGGATTAACCTATGGAAATCTTCTATGGTATTATAATCATCATTATTAAGTTGAATTACTTTCAGTTCTAGCATAGATTTTTTCTTGAAAAACACGTATTCAATCACTTTCTTTAATTTTTTATGGTGAAGTAAATGAATAAATCTGTTTCTAATGCAAGTAAATAAGATTGTGAATGTGAGTATTTGATATCACTGGATTTGGCTCATTCCCTACTGTTTCCTTCGTAGGCTTTAATTTTACTTTATTAATAAAATCTTAATACTAATGAACTTCAATTCCGTCTACAGACTATTCCCTCTTGATTCAAGCACCTCGTTCTACAAAATCATTTGTGTTAGCTTTAAAGTAAAATGTTTAGTTATGCAGACGGTTTTTTCATAAACCATACCTGTTTTTGTAGAAATCACAATAAACTGTTCCATAAACCTAATTCTGAAAACATTTGTGTTCTCTTTTCGCTTCTGAGTGTAAATATTTCTTATTACAGTATAATCTATAAAAACATTGTTTCTAGCACATAAGATCTCCGATCTGTATCATATTAGCTGTATCGTCTAAATATATTTTGATCTTGACTTACTTATAATTAGGTTGAAAATTTTCCCTTTTTGCGTCGGTCAATAATAATCATTTTCAGACGCCTGTTCGGTCACATATTCTAACAGTTGAATTCATGAGTCGATCTAAGCTAGGCCACATATTCTCTAGAAATCATTATTTTATTATTATCGAAAATATGTAGCCGTTTTATTTAAGTATTTTACCTTATGCATTTGATCTTATCCAGCAAATCTACCGCATACCATAAAATTTTGACGTTGTAAGTTATTTCTTTTCACGTGATTAAACATCAAAGAAAAAGCTAAAAATTTTGTTATAAAAAGATGAAAGCCTCTTGCTTCTTCTTTTAAATTTTGTCTTTCCGTCAGTTTTCAACTTTTTACCATAACTATCTAAATCCTAGTATTACTCTTGGGTTGTATGACCACACTTCTAGAAAGAAACTTCACTTCGATTACCTATACTCAAATTCCAATTACCTTTACTATTCATAATGTATGTTTTAAATATTCTAACATTAACGTCACATGGTTTATGTTGCAATTGGTTGAACCAAGAGAATAGATTTATAAGGTTGCAAAGAAATGATGTCATCCATTCTACATTTTTCTGTATAATATGCATATTATAGTAACTGACTTTTGTTCATCATCTGTAATTTACTATATATTCATAATTCGGTATACAAGTATAACATGAAGGTTTCATTATCTTCTGAGGTATAGTTTCATTCAACTAAAGAGTTTAGCTCAAAACTGTAGCGTTAAATAAGTAAGTGATTCAATTTTCAACTTAATAATCTAAAAAAATTATTATAAATTATTGTAATATTGGGATCAAACGAATGGATTTTCTGAGATGGAAAGCTGATTATAAACTAGTGGGAATGTTGATGAACAGAAAATTCTATTTCCAAAAATCAAATCATCTATCACAAATCAAAGCAGATTGCGCACAATTGTATTCGTTTTATTATAGGGTAAAGTTACAAACAATCAATTCTATTTATAGGTGAAGTATAGTTACATACAGAAAGAAAAATAAAACAAAGTCATCATTGAAAAACGAATACATGTTGGTGTGGAGGTATGAATTAGCGAATCTTCTTATGGAGTTTTAAATGATAAATGTTTGATTAGGATGTAGAGTTATGAATTTTAGCACCGCCTCTCTCACATTTATCAGTCGGTAGTTATCTCCATGATGTACTCATGTACGGTGGATAACATTATTGATGCTAATCAAAAGCGATAAATAAATAAATAATATAATGAGTAGAAAAGTGTTAAATGTAAACATATATTTGTTATTAACTCCTAATTTTTGACATATCACAATTATTAGCATTAATGTTGTTATTATTATCACTGCTATTTGTTTAGCTACTGTAAGAACAGGCAGAATTTATAAGGAAATGAAACGATTAGGATCAAGACATCAAAATCTCTGTGAACATTCAACTATTAATCGTTCTTTTCCCAATCGTAACAACTATCCGATTCCAGAAGATCTTCAAAGAAACAAAATGAAAAGAGCAACACATGAGATAAACTCTCATGGATTTAGTGATAAATTTAAAAGTAAGTTTTTAGAATTTACATCTTTTAGCTTTGTATGATGTCTGTTTATTGAATATAAATTTATGACCGTCTTTGTAAATAGAGCCTTTTTCAATTAGACAGTACTTATATTTCTAATGGATCACTGTAATACGTTATTCATGTTTATCTTACCCTAAGTAGTGGATGATACATACAAAAAACATAACATTCGTTTGTACGTCATTTATACCACTAAGAGAGTAATATGATTACAAGTTACTTTGTCACCAATTTTGGAATTACTTTAAAATTAGAGGCTTTTTGTTGTGATTGGGGTAGGAAATTGTAGTTTGATCTCTTGATTACTATCATCAAAAATAATATTGAGAATTTTCCAAGACGAATGGAAAGATCTACTTCCATTAGTAACCACTAATCTTCATTTTATTAAGTGGGGGCTCTGTTTTTTAACTTTAGTTGTTTTAGTGAGGATTCGCTGACCACTCTGGTCCATTTTTGGTTAAAAATATGTTCTTCATGTAAATTATCTTACAAACATAGTTTCCTCTATCATCTTGAAGGGAACAAGAACAAAAGTTTAAGCAAACCAACATAAATTCATTTGATTTCGTCAGCGATTTACAATCTGTAATATTTAAAATTCATAATTACAAAATGGGCTGAAAATGCTTACATAAATGCGTTTAGATTTTTGTTGTGATCACATATTAGGGTATCATAGCAAGGATGTAAGTAAATTCACGAAACTAAACAATCATACTGAAGATTTATAGTATGTTGAAGAACAATCCACAAAATGAACCGTAATGAAAAACTAAATGAGCGAAAAATAAGTGATTACGTAATGGACAAACGCTAATAGTAAGTAAGAATAAACTGAGTAAAGTTCATATAGTATTGTTTTTTTAAATCTTCCCATCGATGTGTTATGACTGCAACTGGTCAGTCTCTAATTGGCATATATGCATACTGATGGGAAGATTCAAACAAACAATACTATATGAATTTAAACTTCACCCCATCGCACAAGCAAGTGGTTATCAGGACTCAGTGGCCGAGTGGATAACGCGATGGCGTTTGAAGCGAGGGTACTGGGTTCGAGTCCCAGAGTGGACATCAACTCTGAGATGCAGGTACATCCAGCTGACGAGTCCCAAATAGGACGAAACGCGCGTCCTGGATTCCACTGGTAGCCACTATTCATCTCTGCTTACCAAACTGAGTAAAGCTTAGTTAATCAAAATAAGATATTTATAATTCGCATTACGGATTAATCTTAAGCAACTACTGGAGACCAGAAAGCACTGGAAAGCCGTCTTGCCCTAGGATAGGACCGGGCATGCACGACTACAGTGGGAGTCAAACTTATAGCCTTTGTCTGGTATTGAGCGCTTAACCTCTAGACCACTAAGCGGATACTCAACAATCTCCACGGGTGCCTTATACTGACAATAAACGCGTACTCAGTAGCAACTAACTTCAAGATGTGACCTCAGGAGTTCTGATGAAAAACCAAGACTAGTGAAGTTCAATCACTCCGACTGCGAGATAGGTATTCCCAAAAGAGAATGGAACACAGTCTCGTCGTCTCGCGAATTGATTGCAGTTAAGCATGTATACCATTGAATGCCGGATCATTAATCTAAAGGTTAAGATCTCACCATAAAACCCAAGACCTCGGAGTTGATCTGTGGTTGGTTCGTGGATGTTTAATTTTGAGAAGTCTAATTCTTGGACGAAACAGCTGGTCAGAGCTTTCTGGTTTTTAAAGGTTTTCCAACTAATATTAATGCATGATATAAACCATGAAAATTTGACGTTCTCCTCAAAACCTTTATACTCATAAAGTAAAATTATTAATTTAAAGAGAGTTTGAAAAAGTCCTGATGATGTAATCGGTTAGCATAAAGAGTTGAACGAGATTTTATGATGCAACTAATAAATAATTGTGTTATCGCGGCAGAGGAAGACTGACAACTGTCTCCTCTTGAATACACAAATCAAGCTCCTGACATCTGATAACTTTCAATTACCTTACTGTATTTTCAAAATTCACTTTGCTTCTGCTAGTTTTTCGAATGGTTTGCCCTCATGGTAAAAAAGTTAATGTCGGTCAGTAATAATTATTTTTTGAGCCATTCAATTTGATCTTTTGAAATGTGCATAACTTGAGTAAGCAGTTTCAAACTACTTGTAAGTAGTCTTATTGATTTTATCTAAAATCAGATAAGTTTAAGATTTTACTTTATTGCTTTCCAGAACACAGTATTCTATCGACGCGATTTTCACCACCAATGTTGATTCGAGAAGAACTGGTCCCTATTACATCAGAGACAGTAAATATCACAAACAATCCCACCAAATCATTAAAAATTCCTCGATCGACTCAAAAGACAAATGACAGGTCATCTCCGACTGAAAGCTCAATAAAATCTTTCAGTTCAATTAGCGATACAAGTGGGATAGGATTTTCACCATATGAATCAACTTATTTACTATCTTCAATTAATGAGGCTTATGCAAAATTATTGGCAAGGCAAGCATATTTGGATAAAATGACATTTAATGCAACAACTACTTCAAATAATACAAATTTGTTGACCAATATTGCAATAAATACTCCTGGTTTCGCAACGACTATCCCCCAAAATGTTGGTAGTACAGAAAGGAGTAAGATTACGAATTCAATGAATCCTAGTACACAAATGAGGGACAATTACATTCCACACTCCTTGGGGACGTTTTCACCTGTGTCGTTATTCTCGACATTATTACATTGCAATAATATTGACAGTCGAATTAGTTCAAATTTTATCCGCATTAAACATCAACAAGATGTTGATTACACTACTACCGCATATCCGTCTATGTTGAACTTAGAAGCTGCCAGACATAATATAAATTCAGTGAAGACTCCTTTCCAACTACAGGAAGCGCATGACACCGTTACTCCTGTTCGAATTAATTATTTAGATACATCTGGTGGTAGCAATATTAGCAATAACTCTCAAACGGATAGTGCACAAAATCACTTAGACTGTCTTCGGAGCGTACCACAAAATAGTGCATCATGTGATAGACCTTGCCAGTCAAATGACTCATCCTCTTCATTATTGTCAGCATTTTTACATTCAAATATGACTTCTGAGTTAAACCCAACAAAACTGAACATAAATGAAGGTAAAGCTAATGTACAACCAGGTTATTCAAAATGGGAAGAATTTGATTATCGTCATTATTATAATGCATTTGCAACATTTCTTTCAGGAATGTTAAACATGTCAGGTATAAATTCCAATTGTTTGGGAACTAAAAAACTGAATGAAACTACTTGTGTTAATGATAATTTCCGAAATATAAATTCTAGTTTCGACAAAACGAAATGGAATCGACATGTTCTTAATAATAAAAAGAACATTACGTCATGTTTAAACAATGACTCTACAGATATGGACTCAACATTGAACCAAACACCCGATAAGAATGACTCATCAAATCATGTGCTAAGTATAGAACACTTGTTAGATTTAAATACACGCGGTACTACAAACAATGATACAAGTCGTAGTAAACATGACAACAAGCATATGTCAGCAGATGAATGTAGTCCTGATTATTCAAATTTCATGAGTACCCCCAATAATAAGCATAATTATGTAAATTATTTTCCTCAAACTGTACCAGATCCATTGCTGATTAAATCAATTTTGGCTCGTCATTTAATCGAAAATAAATCGTTCAGAGTTTGAAATTAATTTATTACATTTGTAGAAGGTTAAAATAGTGAATTTAGGAGGCAGCACAAGTGATCTTCATCTGTTTTCATCATAATTAATTATGGCATGTAGAGACTATGTAAACATACACAAGCATATACAAACTTTTACGATATTGTATTACGCTAACATTTTACCTCATATTTATATATATAAATGAAGATTTATTGTATTCCTCAAATTCACGTACACAGTAATAAAGCTATTTGTTATCTCCTTTAGATGTGTTTCACTTGTTTCTTTCTTGGAAAGCCGAGTTAAATAAACATTACTACTGGGGAGACATGTACTAAACTGCTACTTATCTTATATATGCCCGTATGTGTCTCGTTCAATACTTCAGTGATTATATTTATTACAGATAGAATTTATAATATACATAGTGTTGCAATAAAAAATCTTGACCATCAAACCCAAGGCAATTAGTTAACAGTAGCTTTTCCCATTTCGATATTATTTATTAACGATAAGCTCACTTATTCACACAGAACGCAAATGGATTGTACGTCAATCTAGTAGGTTAGTGCTAACATATTTGAGATGTAGTTATTCCGGTTTTGATAGGATTTGGAATAGGAGCCAAGGATGTAACTTCCCGATAACTTTTCGTATGTCAGCCAGTTTGTAATGACAGTAATACGTTCCTTTTAAATTTGTTAGAAACGACTACAAATAACTCATTCATAGGTTCCCATTGAATTCAGTCTAATGAGAATAGATATGAGACACAATATGTATACTTGATTAGTTTAGTTGAGTATCCCTTGAATGAATTCGATAGAAGTATGTTAAATATGAAGTATGAATACAAAATACATGTTCTTGGAGATACTGAGGATATAAAGTTCGAATTGAATATCACATGGATAACAAAATAGTGTTTAGAGCCCACGGACCAGTTTGATTGTTTAAGTGATAGTAATACAGCAAACTACTCAAAGATATTATGAAACATATTGTCGAAACTACGTATTTTAAGAAGAATCATAACAGTTTTCGGATGTCCCGAATATCAAAGTATATTTTCTTTCAGGAACTACGAGGAATATACTTTGAAGAGATTTAAAACAACCCTGACAATAAAACATTACGCAGATGTAAACTAAACAGAAGCAAATTGGTATATACATAATTGCGAAAATTGTAACTTTTCATGTAAGCACAAAAAGAAAATAAAGGGAAGCAGAGTCAAAGAAATACATTTGATACAGATAGTGGTGAAGAACTAGGAGGAATAAGTAAGATAGAAATGGTCTGAAAGTCAAAATACTCCTAATTTGTAGCGAAACCTTGTTTGATGGATCTCGGCAAGGAAGCTTACTATCATTCGTAGGTGTCATATGTGGGTTTTAATAAGTCAAGGCTTCATACATACTTCCTTTGACTTTCCAGTTTACAAACAATTCCTACAATAATAAATCCGCTTACTTTAAGCGAGATAAAAATGGGCTTGAGAGTACTAATAATTAAAAACAAATACTATCCAAATTTAATTGTGAGAAGTCATCAGCATAGATATCACATAGTGTATTCTTACTATGTATGTTACGTAATGTAATTTCGTGGCCGCGTTCATTTGGAAAGAGGAAAGTAAACGATTTTTTCAAGATAAACAAAGTCATCATGTCATTTAAATAGAGTTAAAGATGAGTTGAAAGTGTTTAGTTTTCCAATTCAGAATCGTGTATTAACACTACTCATATACACCTTCAGAAGGTCTTTTTTTGAATATTAAGTGATAGTCCGTAAATGATTTCGGAATATTTCAAACTATCCTATCAATGTGGGGACGCATACGACACATGTTAAGCCATTTGATAATTAAACAAACTACTAATCATTTGGAAACCTATAAATCCTAAAAGGAGTCTCTGATAAATATGAAACAAACGGTGCTGCCGAATTTTCTGCACTGAATCGTTTACGATACCGTTCGAATTTACTGGTTAGGACTCCTGAACTATTGTTTTAATCGTTTAACTATGCCTTTAACATAAACAATTTTTGTCTAATAACTAAGTTAATTACCATCCATAGTATATAAATATTCTTCTCTCGGTTCATACAAAAAAAACTAGATTAACTCAATCGCTTGTTTTATGTTAAAAATATTTAATGAACACACCATGTTGATAGCTTAGTTTCAAAATAGCATGCCAATATTAGAAAACAAATAAGTGAAGTGTAAACTGGGAAATATTAAATCAAGCCAACTTTCATGGAATTTTTACTCTAATTTAAAAAAATATTTATTATATCCGTTTATCCTATTGTTTTAGCATTTCCATTAATTTTATTACTAATGCCTTTGTAATTAACAGTACTACTACTATTATTATTGACAGTAATCTGAAGGTGTTAATAACAACGGAAATTTTTTTTCCTATAGAAAAAGATTGAACAAAACACTTAATATCATGAAACATCAACTTCGAGGGACAAGTATTTCTCCCCTATTCATATAATTGACTTCAGTTATACACAAATGGTTAACTGAAATTGTCCTGTAAATCTGGGAAGAGAAACATGTTTATTATTAGTTAAACTGTGTTGACAGAAATCGGTTTGCTTATATTTTCCAAGCGAACGTTTTCAGGAAATGCGAAAAAATAGAGAGTGCTACAATAATTAGTCATATTTATTTATTTTTGTTTCTAAAGTTTATCGAGTTATTGGAACAATAACAATGGAAAAAAACTTATGAATTCAGTGATGCATATACTGCATTCCAATGGGAGAGATAGAAAAGTTAATTTATTTACAATATATTTTACTAGTGTTCTTTGACGAACTTTATAGCCTTATGATTGTTACCCAATCGGTGTTCAAGTGCTTTCAATAAAATCCCTGTTATTTACGTATGATTACTTAAAACAAGAAAATCAGTTTGATCTGCAGCAAATGATCATACTTTTAAACTCTATTCAATTTTTGGTAGACCAAAATATTGGATCTTATTGTTGGACAGCAGTACCAATAAAAATAATATATTTGTAATACCCCAATTGAATTTTCGGATGTTTAGTGGCTCAGTGTAAGCCATTTCATCAGAGAATAAATAAACAAATCAAATTAACTCTAGTCTAAATAGTACAAAGGAACAAGGTACAAAAAACTTTTAGTGCGATCAATCAAAAACAGGCCCGGCCAAGTCAATGTCATGTTACTCCAGTCAAGGTGATTTACTTAAGACATGTGTGTGTATTAATGGGTAAAAGATGTAGCAATTGTAATGTGAAAAAGATAGAGTTGACTTAGTGTATATAACAATAGTATGAGATGTGAATATAATCATGCATGGTAGCTTGGATAGATGGTCCAAGGCAGTTTTTTGACCAATTATTATTGCGAAAATCCTCCACTTTTAGGAGCTCCTAATGTAAGTACTCCCCCGTTTCATTTTATTGAATACTTTGCGGAATGACAATATATACACTGTCTCTGTGTTTCTAGGTATCAGAAGCTAAATAAATCCTTTAACACACAAATCTATTGCTAATTCAAATTTGAAGGTGATATTTTTCCACGGAAATGTCTTATTTATTTTTAAAATTAAGAGAATCGTTGGCATGGAATATATAGAACGTTTTACAAGTACCTGACAGGAAATTATGAAATAAATATATTCAGAAGTTGAACAAAACGTAGTTAATCTTCCGCGTACCAGCTTTTTTTCGAACTCTCGATACAAAATCTGAACAGTGGTGACAACCAATGCTTTGGAAAACTAATAAAAAACATACACATTGACGTTTTCTAAACACATAAAGTAAACCTTATTTTAAAATAGATAGATTAAAGGATTATTTTGAAATTTATGAAACACCTAAGATAGTCGTCCGGTATGCCATTAATTCAGACAGACTTCTTAATGGTAACTTGGCCTGTAGCTTTTCTAGGGCTACTGCCGGTCCCAAGCCCGGGTAAAGGAGATTTGAACATGGGGTCAGCATCCCCATCCCGTAGAAAACAACCTTGCTAAAAAACGCTAACCAGAATAAACAATTTCAAACATTTAAACTCTGCTTTCTGTGTTGAAGGATCTTCACTCAGAAGAATTATGATGCCCTATGGTGAAACTCGAGATTCTTCAGAAACCACAAAGCCGACGCCCCTTCTAACAACCAAAGCAACAGTTTAAATAGGTACATGAAATCTTCGGACAATGTGGGAGGATCAGTCAAATAGCCACGGAGATGAGGAGAAAAAACTTGACGGTTCTCGAAAGCCGAGACCCATTGGACCCGGGCTGGACAGAAAAGGATAGATTCAGGAGAGATGTTGTTGTTCTCCGGTTACGAACAAGAAACTGCTTCATACACTCATAAAGTTGCTCTGATGCTGTCTAACGAGGCACGTATTGGGTAGGAATCTCATGGATCCGGAATCATCAAAGCATCTTTCAAAACAAAGGAGGGAGTCACAATGAATGTTATCCAGTGTTATGCAACAACTAATGATAGCAACGATGACAATAAAGATCAGTTTTACGAAGACCGCAATCAATCGCAGCGAAGTACCCAAGAAGAAGCCTAACCATCTTGATGGGAGACTTAAAAGATAGAGTCGGAATAGACAACACCGGGTATGAAGACATAATGGGACGACATGGACTGGAGAAAGAAACGAGAATGATGACAGATTTTCAAATGAATATGCATTCAACAAAATGGTTATAGACGGCACTATATTCTCACACAAACGCATACACAAAGCTACATGGGTTTCACCGGATCACACTACACAGAACCAGACCGATCATATTTTACACCACTGAAAAATTCAGGTTAGTGGAAGACGTGAGAACAAGGAAAGGAGCTGACACAACTTCAGATCACCACCTGGTTGTGGCCAAGATGAAATGAAAGCTAGAGAAGCACTGAAAAACTGTACGAACATCATCAGAAAGGTCCAATACAGCCTTACTTAGACATACTGATAAACTCAACCAATTCAAGATAATTCTAAACAATAAGTTTCAAGCCTTACTGAAAGAAGAAACTACAATGGAGGACAATCGGAAGGTGATCAAAGAAACACTAACTTCAACGTGTCAGGAGGTTCTGGGCAGCAACAAGCATAATAATAAGGCATGGATCTCTATGGAAACTCAGGTCAAGATTCAAGGAAGGAAAAAGACAGCAATTAACAACATTCGAACGAGAAAGTCAAAGCGAAAACTAAATACACCGAAGCAAACAAGCAAAAACACGTGGAAGAGCTAGCAATGACAGTGGAAAAAGCTGCGAGAGGAAATATGAGACAACGAAGAAACTGACAGGGAAATACAGTAAACCAGAGAGACCAGTAAAGAACAAAGAAGGCAGGCTAATCACTGAGATCCAAGGACAGAGGAGTGGAACACTTCGAGGAACTCTTGAATAGACCAGCTCCACTGAATCCACCGGACATCGAAGCAACACACACAAACCTTCCAATAGACGTCACTCCACCAAAGATTGAAGAAATCAGGATGTCCATCAGGCAAATCAAGAGTGCGAAAGCAGCAGGACCTGACAATATACCAGCTGAAGCACTGAAGTCAAACGTAGAATTAACAGCAAACATGCCTCACTTTCTATTCAACAAGATTTGGAAAGAGGGACAAGTGCCAACGGACTGGAGAGAAGGATAGCTAATCAAGATACCACAGAAAGGAGATCTGAGCAAATGTGAGAATTACAGAGGCATCACACTCTTGTCAGTAACAAGAAAGTTTTTCAACAGAGTGTTGCTCAACCTGATGAAAGACTCAGTAGACGCTCGGTTTTGAGATCAAAAGGATGGACTCCGTAAGGATCGGTCGTGCACAGACCGAATTGCGACACTACGGATCATCGTCGAACAATCAGTTGAGTAGAATTCGTCGCTGTACATCAACTTCATTGACTATGAGACGGCGTTTGACGTTCTGGATAAGAGAATCTCACAGAAATTCCTTCGACCCTATTATGTAACTGAGAAAATCATCAACATCATACGGAATTTATACGATGAACTACACTGCAAAGTCGTGCATGGAGGAAAGCTGACAGACGCATCCCAAATCAGGATCGGTGTCAGACAAGGTTGCTTATCCTCATCTTTTCTCTTTCTTCTGGTGGTTGACTGGATTATGAAGACCTCGAAATCTGAGGGGAAGCATAGAATGCAATGGACAGTTTGGAATCAACTAGACGATTTGGACTTCGTAGATGACCCGGCCCTCCTACCCCATACACATGAACAAATTCAGGTCGAGACAACCAGTGTAGCAGCAACCTCTGCATCAGTAGGCCTAAACATACACATAAAAAAGCACGTTCCTGGAAAGAAACATGGCGAACACTTGATGGAGGGACTATGGAAGAGGTGGAAATTACCACGTACCTGAGCAGCGTCATCATCATAAAAAAGTGCAAGTATTTATAGACAATTGTCTACGCAAGATACCATTAGCAACAGCCTACTGTGTCAGAGAACAAATTAACTTCGAACTGAAGAGGAAATTAGGAAAAGACGTTGGAAGTGAATAGGAAATAAACAAACTGCATCAGAAAGCAAGCGCCAACTTAGAATCCTGAAGGGAAACGGAAAAGAGAAAGGCCAAATAACACACTGGGTCGTGAATCAGAAGCAGACACGAAAAGGATGAATAGCAACTAGGAACAATTGGAAAAAATGGTCCACGACACATTTCGATGGAGAGTGCTGGTGGGTGGCCTACGCTCCTCGACGAGAGGTAACAGGCGTAAGTAAGTATTCTTAATGATAACATGAACGAACTATAACGGCCTTCTGCAACTGTTAGATGGAATAAATGTTTTCTTATCAATAACAAGTTTTGACTACTGTTCCAAAGTCTTTGTATGAATTCTGAAAGTTTATGAGTAAGAGATTTTAGAGTTATGATAGTAGTTCGCCGAAACAGATCGATAGCAGTCAGTAAATAATAAACTCATGAGGAATTGAGCGCATTCGTTATCCTCATGCGAGCTTCCAAGTGCAAGGAATCTATATCTACGCTGTCCAACGAATTGACATCTGGTCATGAAGACAGTTTAGAATGTAAGAGGAGGTAAATCAATCTCTTTAAACGTTCACCTTTAGAGTTCTTGAATAAACGTAAACAACAAACTTCTTGAATCAAATATGAGGAACGAATTTTCTGTGTTTTACTGGAATCTTAAGTGCCTGAGGTATAGCACACCAGAACAACTAGTATTGTGATCCTAACAAAGACTATCTTCTATAATCTTACATTGTTTAGGCTAAACCACATAGGGATAAGTTACACACACCAGCTTATATTTGCAGTAAATGGATTAATATTAAGAAGTAACATTTACCTCAGTTTACATATTTATCCATAATAAAATATAATTAAAATTTACACATAATAGAAAAAAGGAGAAAATGCTACATAAATAATCCAAAGTTTAATAAATAAACGGAAGAAAAAAATACATTATTTTGTTATGATTTGTTAAGACAATGAAGCGAGAGATTGTCAATCAGAACAAAATCGATGGGACGCTGAATAATTAACTTTGAAAGATAACGAAGTAGAATTGTTGTGCACAGACGATACAGGGCACTGATGACCTGATTGAAAAGGATCAAATAATGAAAAACGAACACACAGAAACACGTACAGAGAGTAAAACATTAAGACGTAAAAGAGACTAAATATACCGTGAAATATTATCAAGTAACAATCAACAATACCTGGTTATTAATAGTATACAAACAAGGCACTTAAAGTTTGGGATTTCTGTTTGAAAATATCATCCATTTATTCTTTTACAAGTATATATATATATATATATATATATATATATGAGGTGGATAGAAGCCGACGTGGGAAAATTCATCTGTATTTTAAAACATGATAAGCTTCATCAACGTCCTTTCTGTATAAAATAGTAAGAAAGCAGCTGAGGGATTAACAAAGAACACCTGGTTTATTAAACACTTACTGACTTAATCATCAAATGCAAATTTAATACGAGGTTACTGTACAGCAAAAGAAAAAGAGGATACAGAAGAAAATATGTTCACCTACAATTACCACTATTAGTCACATAGTACCTAGAAGCGAGAATACTTTTATCTTTATTCAGAGACTCTCTATTTTAAATAATTTCCTGACTATGAAAATACAACAGGAATAAACGAGTATATGAAATAACAGTACTTTATGGACATTCTTATGATCTGCTTAAAAATGGCTGTAGTTGATGATATACCACACAATCAGTATATCGATCTAAAACAATATTAATCTTGAAGGTGCTCCAAGTGAACTTCAAGTTTATATGTGTATGGTTACCAGTTCACGTGAAATTTTAACAAACGACATATAATTAGAGATAAGTAGATAACAATAATAATAACAACAAACAATTAATTAAATTTTTCTTGTTAACAATAAGCAAACAATTATCAGAGTGAGGCCAAATACAAATAGACCACTTGAATTAGAATGTGGGGTATACTCGCGTAAAACAGCCACCTAAAATATATGTAATAATAAAAACGTAGAGTGAAATAACTTTTAAAACAGACAATTTTAAAAGAAAAAGATTACTTTGTTCTATCGCTATTTTGATAAACAGAGTATGAAACTATTATGAATGTGAATGAATAAAAAAAGATGAAATCACTGTTTATGGATATGTAAAAGATATTTCATAATGTAACAAACTGAGTAAGACTTATCAAAAACTAATACGTGAGAGATATGAGGTTGACGAGTTATGAAATAAATAATTCTCTGCCTCCAAATGCCCTGGTACGGCCGAGTGAGGAGAGTCCGCTCTCCTCGAAATGATCGCATATATAGCCTCTGCAGGGAAGTCCTACTCACTTCCTTCTCGTGGCGGGGGTGTTGTTTACAAAATTGAGAGGACGAAAAGCGAATGTCCGGCGCTTTAACCGGGTTGGTGGTATGGAGGGCCCACCTAGGGGAGTTGGAAAACCCTGATTCCAAACCAACGGTGCACATGGGCTCCAGTATCCTGAAGGAACAAATGGCGTATGAACCAATCGTTGGTCACCGGCTACCATGGGACTGCATCTCCTCACGATGATCCACTGCCTTGTGGACTAGACCTTCAGGTCCAAGGCTCGGGGTGTGGCCCCCTAAGAAAACCACCTGCTTTGGTTTGGGCACCCGAGTATTATCATAGCCCTTACACAAATCAAATGTGATTTGTGTGGCGCATATGCATCTGGTGCCCATTTGTACCAATATTTATGTGTTTAAATAAATTTAAAAAATAATTCTCTTCCATTGTTCTGCACATGATGTTTTGGTGAAGTTGATTTTTGGTTAGTAGGTAAACTATTTTGGTAAACGAGTCTTTTTATTAACACTATGTACACATTTACATACTTGCAAGGAAAATGAACATAATTGAGAATTTTAATGATAAATAACAATCTTATAGTTGTATTCCTAATTTTTAAGTGGACGAAACTTGAGTGGTAATCAGTAAAGTAAACCCGTCATGGATAAATAGATGACACTTTTATGACACGCTGGCCAACATTCAGGCCTCAATTTATTAGAGGGTGACTGACCTATAAACTAATTTCCTCCAGTTGTCCATGACATTTTATAATGTTAATTTTGCTTTGATATTTTGTATGTAAGCATCTAATGTTATTAAATTTTAAAAAAATCAATTTTTCCAGGGTCTCTACCAAGAAAACTTCTATACAAACTTGTATCTATCACTAGAAAGGAAGATGTGGATAGAAAATTCTCGTTGGTTGTACTAACGTAGGAGTTGTGAATAAGTAGCTTAGACTACAACTAATTTCAGAAATCCTTAAAGAACAAATGTACATAAAAACACTACATTTAATATAAGTTATTATCATAGTAAAGCTAGATATGTTTTTATTTATCTATTCAACAACCGGATGGATTAGCAGAAGAAGTAGGAAAATTATAGTGTAATGCATTATAACAACATACCGTCAGATTAAAAATCCTCGAGAATCCAGTTGAGAAGGTAATAATAGACTAAGTTTAGTATTTTTATACTACTAGTAAAATATAAGTAGGCCGATTATTCGAAACAAAGTTATATGAGAGATTGATTTCTTGGTTAAACAACGATTCAGTTTAATTCATTTTACAAAGTTGATACATTGCCTTTACTCAGGGAATTCGAAAGTCAACTAGTGGATTAACATGTTTCTGTTTACTACAGAATATTAGTTGTTTTGAGAAAATGGAGATTGTGTTAGGGACGTTAGATCCCCAGAACTCACTTGAAAAAGGTCATAATTTTGTAATTTTATCCCGAAAATTTGAATTTTGTTTTCGCTCCAAGAAACACCTAGTTAACCTACAGCTTATATTTCCCATTCGGAATTCCTTGAATGTCATTGGTTGACGGATTTTTTTAGTACGCTATTTTGTGGCTCTCCAAGGGCGTTTCTATCATTGTATAAATAAGCTTGATTTGTGTGCTTAATGACCTCGTATTTTCTGGGTGCTTGTAGAATATGCCTCATCAAGACTTTCTGATCTAATTAGCGTGGTCGGGGATAACGGATTACAATAGACTATCATGTCACCGAGTAAGGTGAACTCATAATAGCATCAAGCATATCAGATTGGAAAATTGAGAGTTGTTTCTTAAGACTGGGGAATGGATTCCGAGACTTTTATAGAATCAACTTGAAGTTTGATGTCAAATAGAATGTGATTGCTTTGTACTTGGGATGGGTAAATAAAGTTCTAACAAGCTGTTTGATTATTTCCCATTATCAGTATGAAAATTAGGTTTAGTACGTCGTCAGGAACACCGAATGTATCTCGCTAACATAACATTATTGCAAAACATAATATTGTATTTCTGCATTGGTGGACTATAATCGGTAGTTAGAACTTGAATACAACATGTAAAACAATATGGTTTTAAGCTAAAACACACGTGAATTTTATTTACTTGAGTGTACCAGCTACGATTTTGTCAGGAAAAGTAATAACAACTTTCTAAGGAGCTAAAATTCGTGGAAATATTGTAAACGCTTTTTTAAAGTTAGTTGCTTTAATCTTCACACAGTTAATTTTCAAGGTTGAGTTTTTGTATGTTGTGTATAAAAAAAATTATATATAGTAACAAATTTATAATTTGAATTTTGGGATACTTTATATTTAACTGTCAACGAACAACCCTAACTATATACACTGAATAACTGTACAAATTTAGTACAAGTTATATACCTCGTACTCCAACAGATATTAACTTCTGATAACTATGACAACTGGAATAATTAAAGATGGAAAAGAAAAGGTATTATTTTAGATTTGATTATTGACCAATACAAATAGTCCAGACAATAAAAACTGGTAGCTTACCCAACCACCATGACTTTCGACCCATTTGTATATACCATGAATAAAAACAAATTTAACAACAAATCTTATGATATCACCAGCAAGACCACTAAATCCTTTGGAAATTGCATTGATGACCACTTTGACAGCGAACATGAACAATACCACAATTCGTGACCAGTTAATAATCCCATCCGAGAAAACTCTAAAATGAGTCAATAAAATGATTTCTTAATTATATTCCTTGTTAGTATAGGGTTGTGAGGATTTTCGAGTTTTACCAAAATCAAGAATCGACCGAAATTCATAATCTATTGACCACTAAACTGAAATCCAATGGTGCACAAAGGGTTCGAGAGCGAGATCGAAGGTTCTGGGTTCGATTCCTGTTTACGGGGTCGTGGATGTATATTGTCGAGAATCCCAATACTAGGATAAAACAGCAGTCCAATGCTTCCAGATTTGCAATGGTTGCTTAACTTCGATTGGTTCGTGATTTTAGTGAAATATATCTCTTTCTAAAAATGACTTTAAAATAAATTATTTGATAGAAACAGAGACCACCGATTAACTCCCTTAACTTGACAATATGGAAACGTTAAGCCAATGTAGAACATATAATTTAATGTGGTTAGATGTATAAATTAGTTCAATGATAAGAATTCATTTTATTTTACAACTATCAGAAAATAGATAAATATAAGGTGATCTAGTAGTAGTATAGTAGTTTACCAAACTTTTATTTTCACTCGAAAAACTATTTACGCGAGGAGAGCTCACTCTTTACCGCTTTCAAAGAAGTATTTTCTCATATGGTTCGTTTTTTGTTAATAAATCAACTTTTTTCCGACTTCTGAAAACTTTCTGTGTGGATCAGTATACAATCCGTGGCCTAAATCAATATTCTTCAATATGTCCCAAAAAATCGAAGCAATACATGTCTTTTGGTTTGAAATCGGCTAGGAAAAGGATAACAGGTTGTAGTACCTACCATACCAAAAACTGAATTTAGGAGTTACCTTGTGGACAAGTTGTATCATTGGTAGATAACGCGACATAGGTAACTAGACAGAGATCAATTGGAAATCATTTAGCTTAATCATGTACTAAAAATCTTTCTGAAAATAACCTGAATGGAAGTAAATGGTTTGCGACTCTTAGTGGTTCAATCTAAAAAGACTACAACGAAAGTCGAATACATGGTAATCAGTATTTTAAAAACATATTAAGCGAAAGAGTTAGTAAAGATTAGTTAGTTGTTAAGTGTAAAAGAAAATATCTATCCACATAATGCATGCGAAATGTTTGAGTTACGGGCAAGGGAGGAAATAAGAACGGGATGAAATTTCTTTCTCACAACTCCTAAATAAATTCAATGGATACAATTTAAAATATATTTACAGAAAGAAAGACGGTGGGAGTGAAACAGGCAATCTAAAAAATTAATTCGACTCTAGTGTAGTCATGGGACTGCAGAATATCTAATTAGCGAAAAAGTTTAAATTCCATACGTATAACTTATGAGTTTGCAAAGTATGACAGATATATTTTGCAGGTCAAAAGATCATTCATAATCGTTATCTTTGTGTACATTACAAAAAGTAATACGGAAATAATATACGTAACGAGATCTGAATACATGTAGTCAATTGAATATTTAGTCGTTTAGATTTTAGGTTATGTGAATATAATTTTATTACTAAAGTCTAACAATGAATATTTATCGATGCAAACAGCAAAATTTGTGTAAAAAGTTATTATGTAGATGAGAAACGTATGGTGGCAACTTATTTGTCTTATCAAAAGATGGATAAGCCTAGAGATAATTAATCTTCCTTAAACTACAGAAACAAAAAAAGGAAAACAAAACATGTGAAGTCCTCAAAACCGAATGAGAAATATCAGTCAGTACCAGTTAACATAGGGCTTGCTACAAATATTTATAAGCCTAAGTTGCCATATGTCACGTGAGGACATTGTGAGAGGAAGTAGACAAGATGAAAAGTAATCTTAAATGGAATGGCAAGCTAAATTTGAGAAAGATGGTTTCAAAAGAAAAGGTAAAATTTATAGGATGATTTAGAACTCAATATCAAGAGGAAGACAGAATCAGTGTGATTCTGTCATCGCGAACTATTTTGAGCCATGTTAACTTAGCAACAATCATGATCAAACTATGGATCCCTACCAACATGACTTTTTTGACCTGATAGCATGCTAGACAGTATCACACTCAGGGGTTGACGGTAGCTAAACACAATTAACATATTTTAATCGCCTCAGGTGACAAAAGTTTGTACCCTCAACAATCGACTTACCTCAACATTACTCACTTCATGGTTCAACTATAAGCAAGTAGTTATTTAAGGAGACATAAGATCAAATACTTGCAGCATATGCATTTCGTACTTGCATATACTACGTTTAGCAACCATGATATAATACAGCTGTACTACAGATGGAGTAAATTTTGCAAACATTGAGAGAGCTTTTTAGTATCTGTGCTGAGGTTTCGCTGCCTAGTCGATCCACCATGGTCAGTGAGACTTCTAAGATGAGTGAAGTGGTTGAGATGACCGACTTATTCCCCCATATGGCAAGACAAAGCACTGACGTGGATTAGTTATGGGGCAATGTTTAGGATTTGGTGCGCGAGAAACGCATTCCAGACATCTCTGTACTGTTGCTCAAAGTTTAGAAAATTAGACTTTTACAGAAGCCTGCCAAACAGAACTGTTATTTGGGTATCAAAAATGAACATATAAACATCGTAACAGGTGATTAATTTCAAGAAGGTTAGACAAAATACATCTTTAGAAATTAAATAAAAATGAAAAGTTAGGAACTAGTAGAAAGAATAACAAATGTAAAACAGAGATCTAGACCTGGAAATTAGGATGGTTTTGCTAGTAACCAGAGCCTGACAACGAAATAATCAAGTGTTAGCTTTTGCAAATTCCCACAGGTGATCCCCATTTCATATCGTACGGGATCACGGAATAGTCCAAAAACAGGATACTCAAAATACACAGTATCTCCTAACAGCTGCTTCTTTTGGATAAAGTTATACTCATAATAGACATTTACAATAAAAATAGCAAAAAGATGGGAAAACATTTACCCTTTTGCAATCTGTAAAAACTTCTCATATGTGGCTGACTTGATCCACATTTCAGCATCATGATTCAACCGTTCGCCATATTGGGCTTCTAACTCATTTGATATTTCTATAAGGCGACCAATTAGAGCTTGTGTCCTAAAATTTATTTTACGACATTTATATTGGTCTTACTCCATATCAGTTGAAGTTCGTCGGCGTCGAATAATTCCTGCGCTTTGTTTTAGCTTTAATCTGACAAATTCTTCAACTATTGTTTCTGTTTCCATCGTCTTCAAATCATCCTCATCAACTTGGTGGGTAATCATAGAATCTTCACATTGACCGGAAACGGAACAGTCACCAGACATGGTCTATGAAGAATGGATTTAGTGAACAAATGTATGGTAATCATGATAAGACCACTGAAGCTTCAGGAAAGCCTATAATAGGGATCTACGATTCATAATATGTTATTCGTAATAAGGGTACCAAAGATTATGAAAACCATTGAAAGGTCGGTAGAATAACCCTTCAGTGATGTTTATTTCTTCCAACTATTTGTTCTGATAATAGACCATTAACAAGTCACTTACAGAGACGGTTTTACTCAGTAAAAATTCTTTAAATCGCACCACCAAACTTGCGTGCCTTGTAATTATTACTGATAACAACACTTTACGAATCATGCAACTATACGACCACTTTACAAAAAAAGAAACTTAACTTAATCCACAACAGCAGTTGATGTTTCTACGGAGCCACTAGGTCCTACTAACTTGAAATAACTCTTGGCAAAATATTGCGCAGATATGAGCACGTTTATGGGAAGGGAAAATCGGGATTCTGATCTCTTTATGACATCTCAGTCTCAGTCAGTCCATCAGGGCCACATAGGCTGCCACAAATTTTGAGATCAAAAGAGAATTTGGTTGGTTCGGGAGTTTGGAGTAGGAATGTAGTGACAAATAGGATTTAGCTTCGGAAGGACACCGGGCCTTTTGAACCCCTTGCAACAGCAACTGGAGCAATCTATGTTACCTAAGAGTATTTTTGTCACCACTTTGTATACGGATTATCATAACGGATTTTGGGAAAGCTTTAAGTGGTATCATGACATGAAAATACAAGGACGCTGTGTTGAAGGCACCATCAAAAGGCCTTGAAGTGTGTGACTACTTCACACGGCCCTTAAAAACCCTGTGGATATTTGTTATGTTACAAGACATACAAAGTTCGTTAAAGATATTTCATTCAGGTAAATAATCCATGTTTACGAAAGCCATTGAAGCCAAACGAGTTCCAGAAGTAAGTACGAAACAATTGAACCTATCACCACTCTATATGCAGGGCAACTAGATCTTTGTCTGCTGGATGCCAACAGGCTAACTACTACGGATGCTTTAAGGATTTGTATCTTCAAAACTACTGTTTCTGTGTCAGCTTTGTTATTTTTACGGGCAAAGGGATTCCTGAGGTTAACAAAAAGGTTTAAGATCCACTAATACACAGAACTGTCGGAACTTTTCAATTTTTACTTGAGAGTCAACAAAAGGAAATTTTTACAGTAACTGGTGATGATACGCTTTGACAATAAGTCCTAAATAGTTTGGGTTGTAGTGGGAAAATACTAGGAACACGAACACACTGGGAGACCGCGCTTCGAAACAAGGAGTAGTAAGTCGCATTTGGGTTTTTACTAAGAACTTACCAACTTTCATTAAAATTCACACGGCAATAACTCTAATATAATTATGTTAACACATCATTACATATCTTACAAGAAAAGACGATAGGCGCTGACTTTTCTAACGTTGCAAAACACTCAGTTTTTGAACGGAAGACAATATGCTTTCGTGAAAAAGGATATAATTCAAGAATAGCCATAGCTATAGGATAAACGACAATTTTCAACAACTTTTGATAGCGCCCAAAAAGACAGTCATATGTTTGGAACTAACGTTTTAAAGTAGCTAGAAAACGTTTATACTTTAAGAAAACACGGAGAAACTTGGTCACAAAAGTACAGAATGTCTTTATTAAGAATTAGTGAGACAATCAATTCAGGTAGCGCACACTTTTGGAAAGTTACCTCAAACCTTGACCTTTGTCAAATAGTTCAAATGGTTCAAATGGTTGAGGACGGAATAGAAGACGCTTTCACTTAACGGGCTTCCGTGTCTGGTAGCAGTGGATCACCAATACCTCCAGGTAAGAACCTAGGTATATTAACGATAATAGAGGAAAAAAAGAGTTTGGTAAATCATAATAATATGTTATCCTTAGTCCTTAAGAATAAGTCAAGTTTCCTCTTAAAGAACTCCTGGGAGGTCGCTTGGACTAGCTCAGTCGGTCAACCCATCGATTGATTTCCGCACGATACTTGGGACGTTCAGTCTCGGCGGGGACGCTTGGGCTATATTACTCCTGTTAACGTGAGTCCATCCACCTACAGGATTTTTGGGAACCACTGTCTCATTCAAGGACCGTTCCCTGGGGGACCCAAGTTTACTGAGGGAGTCGATGACAGTCGATGTTAAGATGGTGCTGAGTTTCAGCACATCATCACTCGTGCTGTTAACAGCACCGTCGATAACCGACCTGTCAGTATCTTTTTTCTTATTTGCCCTATGTGTTCCAGCTTTGTTAGCTGTCATGATGCTATCATTTACCGAATTCTTAGACAACTTATCTCTCAGACCTGTCAGTAAAGTAATGATAGTACCCAACATAACTACCGTATCGGTGTTGCAGGTAACACATACCCACCTACGGTCAGACTTGCTGAGTCTGCTATAGGCTGCTGCTGTTAGATCTGTACATGCCTCATGGAACCAACCTTTACAGTTGTCACATTGCATGCCAGATGTAACGGCAAAACGGCAACCAGGTCTCTTTCATGAATTTTTCATGGCTAGTGATTTAGACTGTCTTAAAAATACAAGCAGTAAATTTAGGACCGTTAGAAAAACAAACAGTAAACAAAAACTGGCAAAAATGTACGAAAACAGTTAACGATAAGCTAAAGCTAGCCTTTACGTGAAAACTATAAAAAAAACCGATAGTGAGCTAAGGCAAAACCACAGTTAACTATTAATTTGAGTGAAACACAGAAAAAGAAGTAATCTACCGAACGTATAGCTCAGAATAGATTTTTGGATTGGAAATGATACTTTTGTTGCGTAAGAACACAGCAAAAGTTTGAGAAATGTAAATCACGTTAGGACTAAACTTCCCGTTCGAATAGCGCGCTTTTTCAATAAGCGGATACAATAAGCTTAGAATTTCATGACATTAGCTTTAGTTATATGATGTCATAAATGTTCCGTATGTAATCGCGACTAGACAGTCATCTTGAGATGTGCAAGTTTTCTCGAAGATAGATTTGGTTAGAGCGTCTGACCAAGTTCTGACAGCTGCAGACGACATTCCTAAAATTTCAGAAAAACCATCTCAAAATCAACTATGTCCGTGCACTAGGACATACAAGCACTCATTTGTATAGCCATAGACTCATCAAACTAGGTAATCGGAGTCTTACGACTGTAAGTAAGCAACAGATGGCACACTACATAGACTCATCTACTGCGAAAATCCATGGAGTATAGTGTTTTAAATTACAACAGCTCTTGTCCTATAAGTCATGAAAAGGGGATTGCACAAACATTTTTTGACTTCACTCAAAAAACGTTTTTCATAGGAAAGCCTGGAAGAAGAACTTGCCTTAATCACGACTTGTCTGCTTGAAAATGCTTATTTGTCTGAATTTATTGAGATGTATACCGGTGTAGCGGTAAATAAATCCCCAAAATCAATTTCTCTGTAGGTCTTCCACATTGGATGCTGATCACATTGGTTTCAATGGACTCACCTAGCTAGAGGCGCTAAGTTATGCTTCCGTACCAGATCACGAGTGGGAACGCCGTGCTCAACTTCTCTTGTGATCACTAACCAGTTTAGATCAGCCACTTCTCGAAATATTGATAATCTATCAAACATACCTTCCAAACTCCTCGCTTCTGCCTTTTGATTTCACTGGGTTGGCACGTTTCGGTTATAGGTGTTACTGGTTACGGTGTTGTCAAACTACAATACCTGTTGCATCATCACTAGAACCACAGTACGTGTTAAATGTAATATATTAGAAATCGGACCTACTTTCTATACTTGTGCTTTACATGAGACTAAATCACTTGAATAATCAATCACAGGATAAATGTTGCGATGAAATTGCTTTTCACCAGAAAAACTGACGACGTTATGGGAGACGAACTACTCGCTCAAGCAAACAGAAGTTGATAGATCCTAGTTTATACTATAATTCGAATAATCCTTATTATCACACTGTCATCGCGATGGGGCCTGCGATGGAACAGTTGGACATTCATTCAACTTCCGAAGTTTTGATGATTATTTGGAAAGGTTTGAGATGTGGAGCATGACAATGAAGGATGGGAAGGATCGTGAAATTGTGGTGCATTTCCTCACATTCATCGGTAAAGAAGCTTACAGTTTACTAAAAACTTTGGCATATCCAGAAAAGCCCATTTCACTCCCTCATACAACTCCTAAGGAGTTCAACCAGGTCAGTTGTGAGATAAAAACTCACTGAAGACAATGGTGTACCGTTGCTCAATTTGTGGATTGGTTGAAGTTAGACATTAACATCGTCCGATGCCAGCTCAGTGGTCTATCGGTTAAGTGCTCCGGCGCGAAGCTGGTAGGTCCTGGGTTCGATTCTCGCGGGTGCAGGATCAAGGATGCGCGCTGCTGAGGAGTTCCGTAATAGGAAGAAACGGCCGTCCAGTGCTTCCAGGTTTTCCATGGTGGTCTAGCTTCAAATGACTCATCATTTCAACTATAAAATTACTAAAATCTCCACCAACCCCCTTCTCCTAAGGAACTACTGTTAAACCGGTAACATTAAACTATACTGCCGACCTTTGAACGAATCTTAAATGACCTTGAGAAATATTAGCCAATCAGAAGACAGTTAATATAAAGTAAAAATATATTATACAAAACTCAAAAATTAGAGGGGATATTGTTCTTTTATATGACTTAAAAACTTATCAAGGTTAGATATTGGTTCATAAGTTTTAAAATCATAATGCATCCGATACAGGAACTCATCCATGTGGCTCCATAGTAGTCGACCTCTGGAACTATGATAACGTCTCAAGAATTCTTTTAGCTTCGACCACATACCTTCAATGTTATTAGTGTGTACCCCACTTGTAGGGTCTGCGAAGTGACGCTTGTGTACGACAACCTCATGCACGTAGCCCAGTCTACTTAGGCACCTGTAGGCTCTCCAATCGTCCATATATACCGTAGTTCCCGGCAGCACGTATTGTTGTATAATCGGTATTATTGTCGGTGCCTTTCGGTTCCTGACTTTTTGGAAATGTCCTTTTCCTAGTGGTCTATCATAGATTCCAAGGACCTGTGAGGTATATTTATGGAAGAGGTACTTACCCAATCTTCTTAGATACTGCGGCCACGGTTGAATTTGCGTTTCCTTACGACTGTTTCATCTATTTCAAGAATCCTCCCAACTCCTCCATATGATTCGTGTACGCTTGTCAATTTTGTAGCACATATTTCTCGGCAATACTCGTACCACTGAACTGCCGAAACGCCACTCACATCGGAAAATGAGGCCGCGAGTGTAACTGGTGCTTTTATTATCCAATTGGCAACAAGGATCATTATCTGCCTTAACGTTAATTTCGATCGAGCCAAGAAAGTTCCTGCTCGAGCTGACTTTCTCTTCCAACATGAAGAACATCGAAAGATAACATCATCTCGGCAAGTTGCACACTGTACAATAGTCATTTCACTACCACAGTCACAAGTATATGAACTCAATAATTTTTTCTCTTGAAGACGCTCAATTATAACGTCTTCCTTAAAATCCGCTGTAAAACGGTCGTACGTAAGCATTTTGAAACGAAATTAGCGCCGTGACCTTGAAAACCCGCGAAAGCTATTGATTGGCTCGGCAGTATAGTTTAATGTTACCGTTAAACCATGTAAAACTCAGCAGTTTCGAACGTCGTGAGAGAACAAAACTTCATAAGATGATTTATCAAAATGACCAAAATGTTAGAGAATTCATCCTTGAATGGCAAAGTCAAGTTGCCGAATGCAACTTTTGTGATCAACTTCATGTTCAGCTGAAGTATCGATTAATTGTAGGAATCTGGAAAAAAGGCTGTGAAGAATACCGAACTGTTCCTTTCAAAATGCTAGAACTATAGGTATTAACTACGAAGTAGTAAACAAATTTGATATCCAGTGGACGAAATTTTCTAATACTTTGCTCAGTCGTCATAATGAAATACAATCTCACGGTTGATCAAACATGCGTTCGTTTAATAGTGATTCCTATTCTCGTGAAAATATGAAAGGTGGTTCAACAAGGAATTGCAAAGCAAACAACAAAGGCGTGAGCAATTTCGAAAAATTTCTATCCTGTGGCAAATTTCATTCTCGTAATTCATGTGCATTTTGAAACGCTAAATGTTTTAAATGAGGCAAGACGGGACACATTCAGTCAGGGTGCAAAACTACTGTTCACTTTCCTTCAAGTATCACTGAGTCTTGTAATTTAGATCTCAACAGTTCGGCTGTTCTTAATGATCATTTATCTTTATCCACTGTTTTGAAAAATAACATTCATACCGAAAAGCGATTATATACATCCCTTGGTTTATTTCATGATTTCATTGTGGAGACAGGTAGTATAGAGTCCATTTTCTCATCCAATAAGTTGAAATCTTTAGATCTCAACTTTGTGGCAAGACCCACTGAAGTCTTAATATTGGGGATTACTGGACACAGATTGACCATACGAGGATGCTGTTAATTGCTAATAAGAGATGATTATTCTTCATATATACCTTGTGAATTTTTAGTTAGTGAATGAGGACTGTCAACACTGGGTTTAAAAAATTTGGAAAGGCTCAAATCGGAATTGTCTTTACTAGTTTCTACCGAGAATTCTGATGCTTTACTTAAAGATTTGATAGCTGCGTGTGCTGATTGTGGTTGAGATATGAAACTTTAGCCTATAAAACTTCAAGTACAGGGTGATACAGTCTCTCTTACAAAACGAATAATTCTTTGTGGTCTTCG